CCCATATTCTCAACTGAATTCAGGTGAGCTTTCACCTGCACACTGTGGACATAGGTGAGGGAAACAGGGACTTTGATTGGCCTCTCTTCTGATAGGACATGGCACTTGTCATGTCTACATGGAGCGGCTGGCTGGTGAGAGCCACGCATTTTGTTGATTGATCCCACATGTAATTTGAAGTATGTTTAGACCTGTCAGTGAGCAGTTTTATAACACCTCCCTTACATTTCATATCAACAGCATTAGCTAGAGCTCATGGTGTTCATTTACCATTAGGACTAACAGATGGCATGTTATTGTATTTTTTTCTCATATAACAATTTCTAGCTGGATTTTAAGGTACCCATCACACTAACTGACAAATGACAGTGCGTCAGGATGGTAATTCACAGCACATCACCACATCAATTTGCCAGAAGTTTGTTTGTATAAGGAAACAACCTCATAATTTTTCCTTCGGATACTACATGCCAAAAAGACACCTATAAATCCTTCTTGACATGTTAACTCAGTGTTTTAAAATGTTTTGCCAGATGTTTAGAAAGTACACCAACAGCCTTTGTTTCTTCTATGAAGTTAAATTGTCCTTATTGTAATCAGAGGTAGAGAATTAAATCTCTGTTGTTTCTCTAAAGAATAAATCCTTTAACAAAACAAAGCCATTTCTGACGCTAGATAAAGGTAAGTACCTCTTCTGTTATGGCTTAGTTACCTACATTGCCAAACAGAGACTTATCTATTGAAGGACTTCTCTCAAGTACAGTCATGTTTTGGTGAGTTTCCATTTAAAGTCTTTGTGCAAATTATATATATATATATATATATACACACACACACACACACACATATATGTGTATATATATTTAAAAATGTAAACCACAACATACCCAACACCCAATGGCAATTTTTATTACAAATGACTGAAAAAAAAGTAATTTAAAATATTGGATAATCACATTTTTTTAGGTTGGTGCAAAAGTAATTGCAGTGTTGCCATTACTTTCAATGGCAAAACCACAAGGACAATTGCACCAACCTAATAATTGTAAGAAACTGATATTCTATGATACAAATATTGATCCAGCCTTAATTTACTGTTATAAATCTTGGTTTGTTGCCCTTTTTAAAATCTTCTAGGAACCATTCTGTAAATTCATATAAAACTATTTAGTTCAATGAAGTTTTACTTGATTCAATTTTTTCTTTTGTTTCCTTTGAGATACTTTCAAGAGATTATTTAGAAGTATATTGTTAATTTCCAAGTGTTTTGAAAATTTTCAGTTATCTTTCTGCTACTGATTTCCAGTTTGAGTCCACTGTGAGCAAGGAACATATTCTGTGTAATTTCGGTTGTTTTGAATTTATGGAGGTTTATTTCATGGCCTAGAATATGGACTATCTTGGTAAGTCTTCCATGAGCACTTAAAAAACGCATACTTGGCTCTTGTTTGAAATGTTCTATGATTATTGATTAGAATCTGTTGGTTGGTAGTGTTGCTGAGTTCCTCTATATCCTTCTGATTTTCTGTCTAGTTGTTTGACTACTTGTAGAGGAAGGGATATTGAAGTCTCCATCTATAATGATGAATTTATCTATTTCTCTTCCATTTCTATCAATTTTTGTTTCACACGTTTTGCAGATCTCTAGTTTGGCACTTACACATTTAGGATTGCGGTGACTGCTTCCTGGTAGATCATGATATGTTGACCGTCTTTGTACCTGGTATTTTTCTTTGCTTTAAAGTCCACTCTAACTAATTTTAATAAGCTGCTTCTGCTGTCTTTTGATTAATGTTTGCATGCTAGATCTTTTCCATATTTTGTTTTCAACCTATTCATTATATTTGAAGTGAGTTTCTTTCATAAGTGGCTTAAAGTTAGGTTGAGTTTTGTTTTATTTTTGTCCATTCTACAGATCTCTGAGTTTTCATTGGTGTCTTTAGACCCTTTAACTATAATGTAGTTATTGATATTATGGTTTAAGTCTGCTTTTTTAAAATTTTTATTTTATTTTTTATATTCTGTTCTTCATTCCTCTGCCTCTTTGTGGGTTACTTTAAGTTTTGCTTTAGTTTATTTTTATTTATCTGTAAAGTTTTGAGTGGACTTCCATGATTCCTGGAATCGGTGGATCTCCTGATTTTCTGTCTAGTAGTTCCCTTGTCTCTTTTAGTGATTACTTTAAAATTATATAGACCTCATATTACAATTTACTGGTGCCAACATTTTACCAGCTTCAGTGAAATGTAGACATTTTACCTACTTTTATGTAACCTTACCTTTCTCTCTTTATGTCTTAAATTTTTCATTTACCTGCATTGAAACCCAGAACAGTGTTACATTTTTCTTGTACCATCAAACATAGATAAAACTCAGAGAAGAAAAAACTATTGTATTTGCCCACATTTTTCCTTATTGTGTTCTTCCTCTCTTTATGATACTCCAAGCTCCTTCCTTTATGTCTTCCGTTCTGTTTGGAGAAATTCCTTTAGCATTCCTTTGAGTAGGTGTGACAGAAACATAATCTTAAATTTCCTCCATCTGAGAATGCCGTGACTCTCCCTTCATTACTGAGGGACTTTTTTGCTGAACATAGAATTGAGGATTGATAGTCCTTTTCCTTTAGCACTTTAAAAAAAACAAAAACAACAACAAAAACAACAACAGCAACAAAAACTCTGTGACACTTCCTCTGGCCTCATGATTTTTGATGAGAAATCCCCTGTCATTAGAACGGTTATTTCCCCAAAAGGTAAGGTATTGTTCCCTGTTTTCTTTTTTTTCTCTATTCAAGGCTTTCATAAATTTGACTATGAGCTATCTTATAGATTTCCTTGGGTTTATACAGTTTTTAGTTTACACAGCTTCTTGAATCTGTATGTTTATGTCTTTCTGCTGAATTTGGGAACTATTTAGCCATTAATTTTCCAACTATGTTTTCAATCCTGCCTTCTTTCTTCTCTCCATTTAGGATGGAGATGATACATATTTTACATCTTGGGTTGAAATCACACAGGCTCCTGTTGCTCTATGCAATTGTTTTTCATCAACTTCTCTCATTTTTATGTGCTGTGTAATATTTATTCCTCTATCTTCAAGTTTACAGATTATTTTGATTCTCCAATCTACAACTGAGCCCATCCACTGAGTTTTTTGTTCTAGTTTGATTTTACAGTTCTAAATGTGGTCCTCCAATTCTCAATTGGTTCTCTTTTGTATCTTTTATTTCTTTCCTGAGAAATAAATACCTTCTTTATTTGTTTCAAGTGTGCTCCCAACGTTGAAGCATTTTATTGTGGCTACTTTAAGCTCCTCATCAGACAATTCTAGTATCTGTATCTTCTTGGTCTGTGCAGTCTGTTGGTTCACTTTTTCTTAAATGAGAAAAATTGTGTTTTTCCTGCTTCTTGGCATGACAAGTGGCTTTCAACTGAAACCAGGACATAATATGACCCCCTGGATTGTATTTAGTTTTCTGATTCAGCGGGCTACCTCTCACACTTTTCAGACAGGAGGAGGAGGCAGCACCTTATTACTGTCAGGTGCGGTTGGAGGTCCAGGACCCCCACTCAGTCTATGTTGACAGGAAAGGAGGGGATAAAGGCTGTTCCTTGCTGTTGGTGGGGTGAGAATTCGGCTCCTCAGTTGGCCTCAACTAACACTGCCCTGGCTTGGAGGAGTAGGGGGGCTCGTACTGCTCCCCAGTCAACCTGCACTGACAGTGAGGGAGGGGGCTTGACTACTGCAGGCAGTTGGCTACTAGTGAATGTCTTGAATCTGTCCTAGCCCCCTCTCCAGCAGGGGTGTCCCATTACTGCTGAGTGGAAATGAAGTGCAGGCTCTCCACATGGTCTGTACTGGCACTGCAGTGTTGGGGTGTCTTGCTACTGCTCAGCCAGGATGGCACCTTCCTTGCTACAGTCTAGCAAAGGTAGAAATCTAAGCTCCCTACTCCCTTTGATGGCGGTGGTGGGGATAGGGCCTCATTTGCTCCTGTGCTGTTTGCTGAAGTAGAGAACGTATTGTCTGATATGTTCTGTTTTCCTATGTTGCACCTTTTCTGATGCTTTAGTCGGAGAAAGCAGGCTTTTGTTGGGACTTATTTTGACTGTGTCCATTGATGTTTCCAGGTTGCTGGCACAATTCTTCAGTTTCAAGTCTGGGATATATAAAGCCAAAGAAAACCCAGGAACTCATCATTTATTCCTTCCTTGGGTTCCATGTTTGCTACCTGGTCTGTTTCCTTCTGACCACATTTCAGAGTCTTTGTATGTTTACTTTGTATATAATGTTCAGAGTTTTGTTAGTGCTTAGCAGAAGGAAAAGGGGAAGGTACTTCTACTTCGTGTTAACCACAAGCAGAAGTCTTCTTCTGTATTTTTTTTTTAATCTTTAAGGTGTAGTATTCCTATTAATTTTTTAGAATTAGTAAGGCTACAATGTCCTATTTATTGACCAATTGAAACAAATCATGAAGTCATTCTTCTCACAGCCAATAGTAGAGAAGGAGTATTAAACCTCTTCAGAACCTGGCATTGTATTGTTGCTAAGTAATAGGTTTTCAAATAATGAGAGTTTACAGGGATCACATCACAAAGGAATTGAGTTGACAACAGTTTGCATGTAGAATAATAACTCATGTTGCCTGTACAAATTCCCCCACGCTAATATTTTATGAAGTTATATGTGACCGAAGTAAACATTCAAAAGTATGAACAGAAGGTAATACATTTTTGGCCAAGACATTTTTATTATTATTACTATGAATTTTTCTCACCTATCTCTGAAATTATTTCTTATAACTTAAATATCAGCACCAAGGAAAATATCATCTATATATGACCCATTCAATGTTTACAATTTAATTTAACAATTTAAAACATGTTGTTTCATACTTTAAAGCAGATTTGCACAATTTGTTTAGCATAACAATTTTATGTCATTTCCTTTACTGAAGAAAATTGAATATAATTTGGAACAATCAACATTAAAATAAGTACCTGATACGGTTTGGACGTTTGTTCCCTCCAAATCTCATGTTGAAACGTAATCTCCAGTGCTAGAGGTGGGGTCTGGTCAGAGGTATTGGGGTCAAGGAGGTCAATCCTTCATGTCCTCCTCTTGTTAATGAGTGAATTCCCGCTGTGAGTTCATTTGAGATTCAGTTATTTAGAAGTGCACGGCACCTCCCCACTGCCCTTGCTCTCTCTTGCCGTGTGATGCACCTGCTCTTGCTTCTCCTTCCACCATGATTATAAACTTCCTGAGGCCCGCACCAGAAGCCAAACAGATGCAGTTGCCGCACTTGTACAACCCTCACAACCATAAGCCAATAAATCATTTTTCTTTACAAATTACCCAGTCTCAGGTATTTCTTTACCATGTTGCAAGAACAGACTAATATAGTACCCTCAATATTATTATATATTAGGGGGATGTTTGTTTCATGAATAGTAATTGCACATTTGGCTTTTATGTATTAATGTTCAATACCCATTATCTAGAAGCTTCACTGGTTCTTGTTCCTTTTCATTACTGTGTATAAAGGCATTTCAATAAGCAGAACTGGCAGTTAAAGAAGACCTTCAAAGAAATGTTACCTTATTTATCTAACTTGAAAAGACATATGGCAACTCAAACTATACTTTTTTGATGTTTAGGAATTGAAATAAATTTATGGGGCTTAAATTATGAAATATGACCTTTTTATTTTTATATTTACTTACATTACTTATATTGATATTAACAATATTACTTATATTAATATTAACATAATTTTACTTATATTGGTTCATAAATGTGACAGTTTAAAAAAAGGGTTGTTAAGTTAAAAGTAAACAATTTTACGCAATTCTCATACAGAACCCACGTATATGTGATGAATACCAATGCTAGAAATGGCTCAAATATGCCAACCAGTCATACATTTGGGTTTATGAGTAGACAATTTTTGTAGTGGAAATAGTTTGACTTTGGAGTGATACAGACTCAATTTTGGGTATCCAGTTTTAGATGTTTGATTTTGGTTTTCTCACTTGACTGCTATCAAATACGTTGCACAGTTTATAAAATGGTGGAGGGGTGGGTTGTGAATTTTTCAGACTTAGGTGGATTATGAATAATCTTTCTTTGAAAAAGAGTATCTCAAAGCATTTTAAAGATAGTCTCACACAACATCCAGTGAAAACAAATGTAAAAAAACAAACAACAACAACAACAACAAAAATAGTATCTAACAATCTCCTACCTGTTCTCAAAGCACACCTGACCCAGTTAAAGGAGGCTCACAGCTGTAGTCCTGTGGCGGCTGCCAGGTGCCTTCTACCGAGCGTAGCACCCTCCAAAGTGAAACTAAGATCTGATAGTCGGAGGCTTGATGGAGGAATGGACAGTGTGGTTTGCATGCATTTCCAGAATCCTGATGGATTTATCCTCTTCCTTTTAAATGAAGTGGAAATAGAGACTGCAAATATCTGAGCATGTGGAACATCACTTTCCTCAGTTGTTGGTCAGCATCAATATCAGAAAGCTCCTCCAGCGGTTGTAATTGTTAGACTCAGTCTCTAATTCTATTTAAAGTTATGCGTTAACAGTAGAAAATATTTCTCTAATGATGACATGACTTGAAACACAAAACTGAGAGAGTGAAATGTATCACTAAACATCTACAGAAAATTCAAAAAAAAAAAATTGCCTAATGTAGTTTCTAGATTCTTAAGGAAGTATGAGGGTGACATCTGGTGGGGAGAACAGAACATGCCTTGTTATGAATTTTCAGTTTCACGGCAACACCACAACTCCATTTTCATTGCTCTAACATTTGAAATCATATACCTCAGAGATAAGTATATTTTCATAGTTAGAAAGATTTGTTATTAAAATGTGTGAACAGCATGTGGTCAATTGTCAGGAGAAGGCTAAGTGCAATTTAAAAACTAAATACAGAAATGACTTACAGGAATCATACAAGTGTTGCTTATCTAAATGATACAAAATAAAAGTGCAGCTAGCATAAACAGCTGATAGCTGAGTAGTTTCCAGAAAATAACTTCTAGGTCTTGCTTCCCCATCAACTGAAACAGCTGTGGTTGGATAATTCCAAGTGATATTTGAGAACCACATAAAATTTACTGTAAGCTCAGCTGTACCAATACAACTAAGCCTTACTTATATAAATAAATGCAACAAGTCCTACTTTATATAAATAAACTTGAAATAATTCATCATGTAGCTGAGCCCGGATATGTGCGGAGGACATTGTGTCAGTTTTATAGATAAACAAAATGCAAGGGTATTACAACACATTCAGGGATGCAGATATGACCTTTATTATTTGCTGTCAATCACCTCACTAACAAACATGATTCACATGTACTCTGAACAGTAATATATAGAACTAGAAAAAATTTCATTTGGACAAACATGTGGGACAATGTTGTGGGACAAACATGTGGGACAATGTTAATTGATCCTATTTTCTGGAGAGAGAGAGATATATATATTTTTATGTATATGTGTGTGTGTGTATATATATATATATAGAGAGAGAGAGAGAGAGAGTTTTATTCTTGTTGCCCAGGCTGGAGTGCAATGACACGATCTCAGCTCACTACAACCTCCACCTCCTGGGGTTCAAGCGATTCTCCTCCTGCCTCAGCCTCCCAAGTAGCTGGGATTACAGGCATGCACCACCATGCCTGGCTAATTTTGTATTTTTAATAGAGACTGGGGTTTCACCATGTCGGTCAGGCTGGTCTCGAACTCCTGACCTCAGGTGATCCACCAACCTTAGCCTCCCAAAGTGCTGGGATTACAGGTGTGAGTCACCACACCCTGCTTATTTTCCGGATTTTTAAAATGAAAATTACATAAATACTGAGTGTAGGTCATAATCTTGGGATGATAAAGAATGTGATTTCCTTACACTCATTGGCCTTACTACAATATTTTCACTCATTTTTAATAGACATTTTAATTTAGATAATTGTAGAATTAAATGTAATGATAAGAAATAATACAGACCGATTTCTATTATATTTTGCTTGGCTTCCCAAATGGTAACATTTTACAAAACTGTATATAATATCACAATCAGGATATTGACATTTATGTAATTCACTAATCATATTCAAAGTTTTCCAGTTATATGTGTCATCACTTACATTGTGAATTAAGTCCTGCACAATTTTATCTATGCAGTTTCACATATCCATCATTTTTATTAATTTTTGAGGCCAAACAGAGCCATCATAGAGAACACATATATTGATTTGCCATTTTCAAATATCCGTTAAGCATCAACTTTTTGTTCATCTTGACACACAGCATGTATTTTTATTTTTTGAGATGGAGTCTGGCTCTGTTGCTCAGGCTGGAGTGTGGTGGAGTGATCTCAGCTGACTGCAACATCTGCCCTCAGGGTTCAAGCAATTTTCCTGCCTCAGCCTCCAGAGTAGCTGGAATTACAGGTGCCCACTACCATGCCCAGCTGTTTTTTTTGTACTTTTAGTAGAGATGGAGTTTCACCATGTTGGCCAGGCTAGTCTCAAACTCCCGACCTCAAGTGATCCACCCACCTCGGCCTCCCAAAGTGCTGGGATTACAGGCATGAGCCACAGTGCCCAGCCTACAAACAGTATGTTTAAAATAAGATACTGATTAAGATTTTTTTTAAAATCCAGAATGGTAAAGGAGGCCTTATGCATTTGAAATGGCAGGAAGTCCATGTAGAATTTAATTAATTTAAATAAAATTGATTTCCATCTTTGACAAGTTTACTAGAATGCTTGATGATTAAATGATATGAGTGTTAAGTTCAAAATGTGAAGGATCTGAGATGTTACTCGCAAGTCAAATAATTGCACTAGGATGGATAGACAGATACGTAGATATACGTTAAAATATATGAGACCTTTGTATCGAGGAATGCATTTTTTATTTTCTCACAGAGAATCTTGTGTCAGTTTTCCATGGCCCAATTATCTGTGAGACAATGAGAGCGAGATGTCACCTGTGTCTGCAATGGGATTTGTGCCACAGAAGAAGAACCCCCTGAAATTATGACTCTAGGAGGTTTTATAGGATCGTTGGCACATCTGCCCCTTCTTGCCTCCAGAGACACAGGAGCAAGAGCTAAAGCAAGGAGGAGACCTTGCTCTGATATATAAACGAATCCTTTCTGGGGAGAGAAAAAGATCTCAATTTTTTTCCTTTATCGTCCTAGAACATAAACAAGCGGCTTCAGGAGAAAGACTTTGCATCTATTCAGAGAAATGCACTATCTTTAACTTATAAGATATGTTTTCTACTAAGCCATTATTTTCCTGAGGTTTTTAGTAATCTTTGCTCAGTAAGTCCCATTTTGCAGAAATGTGAAAATATTTATTGAACATGTTTCCCACAAAGAGGGCACTCGTACCTCTGGGTAGGATAAGTAGCTCGCATCAGGACAATGCTACCTGTGAGAATTGGAAACGTTGTGCAAGCAGGGAGGATTTAAAAGCATAAAATTCCAGAAGACAGAGAAACTTACAGGGCTGCTATGGCAGTATTAGAGAAATAAGTGAGATTTCAGTGTTTGCAGAGGGATTCAGTGGCACAATTGGACATTTGATAGACTTCAGTCATACAGCCGATCTTTTTCTCAGAAACTCTGACACATTATGAATCATCGATGTGAATTGTGAGGCTAGAGACATAAGCCAAAACCTCAGAGAAGCCGAGTGAAAATTCTCTTCAGCAAACCATGCTGGGAAAATTGGTTATCTACATACAAACAAATTAGCTTTAACCCTTAACACATGCGATTGCAGGACTTTTCCTTAGTTCAGCTACAGACGGGGTTCTGGTCACAGGGTCATGAAAATGTAGGCTTGCAGACCATCTGAAGGGTGAGGAATGCAGGGTTTTATTGGGTGAAAAGGAAGAAATGGGGAAACAATGACCTTCTGCAAAGCCAGAGTCCCTGCTGGTGCACTTCCTGCTTCGCAGTTTGAATCCCAAGTTCCACACAGGAAGAGGAGGGGCCAGGCTCCTCACCACCGCAAATGGTGCAAACTTCCTGAGGCTCCACCCCAGTATGCAGGCTGGTGGAGTTATCCCGAGGACCCCGTCCCACCTGGCGGTCTCATTCCTGCCTCTAAAGAAGTCTAACTAACTGCCGTTAGAGTAAGGATAAAGACAAGCCCGATATTTATTTATTTATTTATTTATTTATTTATTTATTTATTTATTTATTTATTTTTGAGAGAGGGCCTTGCTCTGTCACCCAGGCTGGAGTGTAGTGGCACGATCTCAGCTCAGTGCAATCTCTACGTCCCAGGTTCAAGTGATTCTCCTACCTCAGCCCCCGTAGTAGCTGGGATTACAGGCATGTGCCACCATGCCTGGCTAGCCTGGCTAATTTTTGTATTTTTAGTAGAGACAGGGTTTTGCCATGTTGGCCCGGCTGGTCTCAGACTCCTGACCTCAAGTGATCGACCCACCTTGGCCTCCCAAAGTGATGGGATTACAGGTGTGAGCCACCAAGTTGGCCTGAAGATTGATCCTAACCGCTTTCCACTGACAGGGTATGCTGTCTGGGGGAAACCGCAGTCAGGGCTCCCTCTGAGGTCTGTCTAAGGGTTGCCAGCAGAAGGGGCCATGGTCAGAGGCTCTGGTTCCATCGCTGCTTGGAGTTTGGTTACCTGCAGGCAAGAAGAGACAAACAGGGTTATTAGAAAACATGTATCAAAATGAAACAAGGGTGGGGTAAGGACAGCTCAAAAATTCCAAGGCCTTTTACCAGTTTGCACAGGGAGAGGGAGGCCAAAAGCCCAAATGGTTAAATAAACTTTACCCTTTTGCCAACATGTGGGCTTCTGGGTTCCCTTCCCCTGAGCCTAATCGTAAGCCAACCAGTTTAAGGTTTGGGAAATTAACTTTTCCCAGTTCGGATGATGCATCTGAGGGGAGTCTTCCATAGTACAGAGTCACAATTACTTATCAGCGAAGATAGTACAGAGGAGGAGAAAGGAAAAAAGACGGCATTTTTTTCAAAGGAGTCCCAGGAATTGAGGATGCATTCGAAAGTGGTACAGACTGAAGATGAATGGCTACCCATCTAGAAAGAGGAGAGCAGGTGTCCCTGGTTCCTCTCTCTTCCTAGCAGATATCGGGGGTATGTGAGGGATAGAGGGAGAGAGGTCTTCCTTCCTTGTATCCCTGAGTACTGGCAACCTTGGCAGGTGCCACCATGGGTGTTAAAACAGTTCACACCCATGAAGCAAGGAGGGCCTAGAGAGTAGGAATTATTCACTCTCACCTACATCTCTTTTCCACTTGCTCTCAGTAGTCTTGGATTCCCTAGACCTCATTTATGCCATGGACACTAATGCAACCTTCATCCATGAAACGAGAAGCTCGGTTTAATTGGCAGGAATCAGCCACCGCCACCTGCACTGTGCCTTTTAACTTCTGTTATCATTTGCCTCTGGATCCCTCAGATCCAGTTTTCCTTCGTAGGACTTTGAGCCAAAGCTTAGAATTGAGTTTGGCACAAAAATGTGTCTTGGGAAGGTTGCATGGACTCATTATCATAAGTCAAATGCTAAGATAAAACTGTGGAGTTCAGTGCTCCTCCAACAAGGGAGAGAAA